AGGCACACATGCTCTCACACGCACACGTATGCGCATGCGCTCGCAAGTGCACGCCACGTGAACCCCAGCCCCGCACGCCGGCACATGCATGCGCACGCGCTGGCATACGCACACGCGTGCGTGCACACGTGCTGGCACACGCGCTCGCGCACAACAACGCAGAAGAACACGTAACAACATCAAGACCAGCACCACACCAACAACACCGACACCACCACAACCACCACCACCACCACCACCAACAACAACAACAACAACAACAACAACAACGACAACAACGACGACAACAGCAGCAACAACAGCAGCAGCAACAACAACAACAACAACGCCGAAGAACACCAACAACACACAACATCACACCAATTCGCACACACACACACACATCCTTTCCGGCATTTCGTTCACCTTCCCTGCAGACGTTCTCTTTTGTGGTGCGATGTCAATCAATTCATCCACTTTGCTCGAGAGCTTTGCCGGCTGGCCCCAGGCTGAGTGACGCAAAAGATCTTCCAACTGCACCCAGGGCCTTTGCACCGATGTGCTCGCTTCAGGCGCCGTGGCTTGCTTCGCCGATGTGGCGTTAGCATTGGTTTCAGTTCCAAGATGCTGCCATAGCAAAAACATCTTTTCGAACACCTGAGCACACATTCAAGAAGGACTTCTGCGGCTGCAAATAAGCTTCGCTTTTCTACAGGATTGCACGCCGTTTCGCAGCCGTCAACCGCTGGCCGGGACGAAGTCGTTTTTTGTTTTGTTTTGCACTTCCACGAACTCATTGCTTCGGTTTGTTGCGTTTTTACTTAGCTTGCATGAACTTCTGATTAAGTACCTAGTCACTACACAGCTTGCTAGGCAACTATCCAGCTTGCTACTCAATTGTATATTTGACAAAGGCTAATTACGCAGTTCGTGGACTAGCTAGCTGACTCAGCGGTTGATTTCTTCATTAGCTGCTCGACCAGGTACAATGTTTGGCCAGGGAATTGTCTAATTAACTATAGTTGATTGGCTAGTTAGCAATCAGCTAGCGAGCTAACTAGCTAGCCAGCTAGCCAGCCAACAAGCTAGATTCACGAACTAGTTACCTAGATTAATAGTTTCCTCCAGCTTGCTGACCAGCTCACTAGCCGTCCAGCTTTCTATCCAAACGAAATGGTTAGCTACTGAACTGAAAAGCTGCTAGCTGGTTCACTAGCTAGCTGGCCAAACAGGTAGCTTTGTTGCACTGGCCACCAATTCATCATTTGAGAAAAATGCGGTTTCTATTTTTTGTTGTTTTGAAGGAGACATGCCACCGTGCCTCAAACTATGGCTGACCGCTTGGAAACTGCCTGCACGTTACTGGCTTATCATCTTCCTCAAACGGATTCCCTTCGGAAGCCTTTGTACAAGGCACCGAGGCATACGTTCTCATTTGCTTGGTGGGCAGTTCATGCTCGTCCCGTTTGTCCAATGTGCGTCCACTCTTGGTGGTAGCAAGACTTCGCGCGAGAGTTTCAGGAGCAGTTAAGATGTACTGTTGCAAGACTGTTGTACAACTCTTGGTAATCCACTCTTTTGCTGGCAAATATAACAAATATGCGGTGCTTCGAAATGCCGTGAAAAAAAACGATGCATGTTTTAAAGTCGTAAGTATCCAGTTGGCAAGTAGTGAGCACCCCACCACCGTCCACGCATCAAGGATTGGCGTTTTGAGAAGAAGCCAACTTCCGACATTCGCCCATGTTTCGCCCATGGCACACACGCTTCGGCCTCTAAATGGTCAGGCCTCTATGGTCAGGAAGCGCCCAATTTTTTGGCATCTTATTGCGGCAGGAGGACGACCGCTGGCCGGGCACGCCAGATCCTCGGCAATACCAACTTGATGCGTACAGGCCCGGAAAGTTGGGACGGGATGGAATGCGCTTTCCAAGCCTGAAAGGACATGCGCTTTCCAAGTGCTGCCAGTGACCTCGAAGCTGGATTTGTTCGAATTGCCACTTTTGGAGGTTTTTTTGTGGAATTTGAGGGGACCCGACCCTGATTCTCCAGGCCGTGAACCTTGGTCGGAAATGCTGGGCCTCCTTTTGGCGGGAAATTAGCTCATTGTGTAGGGCCCCCGATTTTGACGCAGATTTCAAGCTTCATGAATATCAATACAGCCACCTGCAGGCAAGTGCTCAAGGAGAACACCATCGTGAACCTGGACACTGGGCTCGGCAAGACGTTGATTGCGGTGATGTGCCGCTTGGTCCAGTTTCTTTGATATTGCAGCCTTGAGTATTGGGGAGTTGGCTCGAATCTCCAGCTTAACCTTGGGGGCTCAGGAACACAACATTTCAGGTTGTTGCGGCCAAATCAACACATTTGTTGGAATCAGACTTTAGGCTAGTTGTGGCGACATGCACCTTGATAGGGGGTCACATCACCTGCTATGCATGTTGTGCAGCAATGTACATGTCAGTTGTCAGGCATTGACTATTACCTCAAAACACAGCCCGACAAGAAGGTCATGCTTTGCGTCGGGCATCCCAGCGCCAGATCAGGATCCATGGGCACACGTTTGCGTCGTCTTCGAATTCACGTACAGCACATAACAGACTACTATGACTACTCCAAGAACAACGCCAGCTTTTTGCGTTTGCTTTGAGCGAGAGGGAAGGGGGGCAGGTCTTGTGTGGTTTTCTGTGTAGGATGCAACTTTGCAAGTCACTTGTAGCCATCGCTGGCCTCGCTTCCCTGGGCGCGTGCGAGGTGCCCACTATAGCGCTGGCGAGTCAGCAGACCCAGGTCATCCAGAAGACGAGCACAGCTGGGCGCATAGAGTGGAACGTGGCGCGGGGCGAGGCTTCCCAAAAATGCATGCGGGCAGGTCCAAGCCCGAACTCAATCGACATTGCCATTGTGCGTCATTTGTTGGCGTCGGCTGGGCGCACGATTTGTTGGCATCCTGACCTACCTGTGTTTCCAAAGCTTGGCAACAGCAGCTGTGTATGACCTTGCTTCCGCTTCCGCTTCCGAAGGTCCGCGTGCAGGTGGTGGAGGTCACCGGCAAGACCAGCAAGAACAGCGAAGCTTGCCGGGTGGCCTGGGGGCGATGTTTGGCAAAAAATCGCAACACTTGGAATGCAATGAGCCGACCCGTGATCTTTCAGGCAACTGGAATGCTTTGCCGAGACGAATGGTTGACTCCGGAGGTTTTTTGCAGTGGATCCTACAAGTTGTGTGCCTCAACATTGTGAGCCCTGCAGTTCAGGCCAAGCACGCATCACACTGGCCGCTTTCAACATTTGAGGGGTGTTTCTACAATCACGGACCCCCTGCAAATTCGTTTGCCTTTCTTCTCCTTGACATGTCCGTCATGCATTTGGCTGCCCGGTCCAAGGGTGGAAGCAGCTACTCGCGAATTACAATGTCTTCGTGGGCACAGGGCAGCTCTTTAAACAGGCGCCGGAAAACTTTGACTTGCGATTGGTTCGATAGGCAGGGAATGAGAAATGGAATGACCCCCATACACCGTCCAACTGGTGGTTTCCTTTATCCGAGAATCCCCTTCTGGTGCATTCCCAATACCCTGGGTCATTCCCTACTTGGCACCAGCAAGTTAAGCATTTGTGTCGACTTGGAAGGGGTCTCCTGAGCGCATGGGTGCTGACGTTCAGTTTCCGAAGCCGGCGTTGAGGGCGCTGTGAAGGGGAGGCATCCCGTGACCGTCGCGAGGCCCTGGTGGATCATGCCTTCCTGCGCCTCAGCGATCTGAGCCTCATCATTTTGGATGAGTGTGGGGAGCTTGGAGGTGAGACCTTGTGAGGCTAAAAGGTCCAGGGAAAGCTGCCGCAAATCCACGGCGGGATTTGCGTGGCAGAATGCGAGGTACTCCGTGGTTGGAGGGATGCGCCAAACATACGCCTGTTCTTGCATTTCTCAGTCAGTTGCCAGGCAAGCAGCGTGAAAGAGGGGATGATGGATCTAAACGTTGGGAATGAGACATGGTTCTTTGTTAGAAATCAGAGTTGGACATGTATTCTTGAACTTCTCCAATGTGTGATGATGCCACAGTCTTGGCGTGCAGGCCACAATGCAGTTGGCAGCCATCCTTACGTTGGCATTATGCCAGCGCCCAAGTTCTTCGGAATTGATCGCATTGCTTCTTGGCAGAGGGTTTTTTATAGCTTGCAGACCTGCTTTTGATCGTGAGGGTTTGACCAGGACGACTCCCAAGTTCCGTTTAAAGTGCGGCAACCGCATGTTCGCATCCTTACAACCAGCTGCGCCTGTTCGTTGCATGCGAGGCAGGACAGCGTGCAGTGGAAGGAGATGAGGCAGCAGCCGCGGGTCCTGGGGCTTACTGCCAGCTACTTGAACGGGAGGACAGATGCCATCCATGTCCATGTCAAATCGGTGATCCCTGCTCATATTTGAGTCTTCTTCATGTGCCGAGATCGGCCCAAGGAGGGCCAGTGGCACGAGACTGGCCGCTACCGTAGCCCTGAAAGCCCTGCCTCAGGGCTTTGGCGAGGAAGTCGGTTGGAATGACGGCGAAGCCATCAACAGAAGCTTGTCAGCTTCAACGGCATATGGCTCCCCGAGCAGATTCCTCATTAGTTGAAGCGAGAAGTGCCGGCAAATGCGGCATACAAACGCGGGTCACCCTCCCTTTCAGCCCCACCAGAACGAGACAAAACGGGCTCCAAGTGCTTTCGGCAGCTGCACTTGGCAGGAGTAGCGACTTCCTGGGCCGAAAGCAGGAATTGGAGGCCATGTAAGGATCTATGTGCGAATATTGGGTTGGTCTCAAAATAGGGGAACCGTTAGTTGACATGACGGGGTTTTCTTTTTTTCCCTTTAAAGTGACGCCAAAAGGGTACAATCCAAAAAAGGACACGCCCATAAGTTGCGCCCGAACATCAAGCCGGCTAGTTGCGCAGTCCAGCGTTGGTGATTGTATGTCGAGGAAGGTGACCATATGCCCCCCCCGTTGGTGTTTGCACACTGGCCAACGACTGAGATTGATCCACTTGATTTGGCATGGAAACAGCGTGTCGATCACGGTTGATGAAAGACATGACCCCCGCGCCAGGTTCCCGATCCCATCTGAATCTGCCTTCTGAGATTCCTCCATCCCCCAAGCCCCACCACATGTTCAGCCGAACCCCAACATTCTGTTTGTGTTTGTACCCTTGCGGCCAGAGAGGGGTGCCAGGAGCGATTGCGCAGCCGGCTCTGGTGCCCGAGCAGTGCCGACTTAGCCGAATACCACAATGAAAAGCGCCTGGGATTGAACCAAAGTTGTGCCTTCCAGGCTGCCCACGGCTTGAGAGAGAGAGCGAGAGAGAATCTGGTGTGGGCAAAAAGACAAAGACTCCAAGACGAAGACAGGAGAAAGCAGATGACGAAGCTTTGCATGAATGCCTGCCGGAGTTGCCACCTTTGGTGAGCACGACAATTCAGCCCTCGAGTGAGTGGAGTAGAGACGTGGTGCCATTGCATCGGGGACCAGCCCAGGTCATACAAGAGCATCCAGTTCGGCAACGACTCTCCAAAGTTCAAGGCTTCCAGTTCGCGTGGGGAAAGTGTGCTGACTTGGGCCGGAGATGCCAGAGTCCCGAGCGGGTACCATTTTGTCACATTTGAATGAGGACCGTGGCTTGCTTCGCCGTTTTGCTGTACCCCCAATCTTCCAGCCAGCCGATTCAAATCACAGGGTACCTGAAGGATGAGAGCGCTGCGTGTTCCTTTTGCGTTCCTGGCTTCGAGGCATGTCTGAGGTTACCAGGTTGCAGAGAGTCCTTGGCATTGGCAAGACAGTTGCATGTTCGCCCCATCACCTTATCACCTTCGGCATCATATATCTCCACTTCATACCCTCTAATGCAACATTTGGCCACAGTGGTCCGTTGCTTGTGTCAAATCCTTTTGCCCGTTCTTGCTGTTTGCTCATGATGATTCATGACACAACTCCCAGGGTGAAGTCAGTCGTGTGTATCATTGCACAGCTAGATTCAAGCCTCGGGTGGCATAATTGACATTCAGTGGTTCGGAGTTGTTTGTTGCAAGGTAGGCCCTGTGTGCTGCAGGATTTTCAGGAGCGCTGCCGGATCAGCTTGGAATCCGTGCTCCAGGCGGGATGCGCTAGTCCGCCTCAAGCTCACTATGGTTGTGACAGTGAATTGGCGGTTTGAGGCCTCGAACCGCCTTCGCATTGCCCAGGGCTACCGTGTGACTGAGGGCAGCCCGCTCTGGAACTACAAGAATGATATGGACAAGCACGGGGGCCAAAAGCCACCTTTTTTTTCCCAGAGACCTGGTTTAGGATTGCCACAACGCATTTCTCAGGGCAGATAACGCCAGAAAGATTTCCTTCATGACCCTGTTGAAAGGACTTGTTGCCCAATAGGTGGAGGGCATGTTCTTATCACGTGGCGTCTATATTGCTGATCGGGTTCAGATGCAATATGCAATAGCTTTGAACGCCCAAAAACCCTTGCCGCACTCTGAAGAAGGATGCAATGATGCGAGGAGGCAACATGTCAGTTGTTGCGGCTTGGTTGGGTTAGGTGATGACAAGCTTTCTTTTGAGTGGTTTGTGCAGGTTTGGTCGACAAGCAGCTGTCCACCGATACGTTGACGAGTTCTCCGAATCTTTTTGATCAATCCATTGCTTCGTTGCTTCGGCAGTGGTCAGTAGCTTGGTCAGAGGGTTAGCTGACGAAGGCGACCTCCTGATTTCCAGTTTGTGATGTATGACTATGTTGTGGAAACACTCCCAAACACTCCCCTGCCAAATTCGATGGGGCAACTGCACCAGCAGCACAAAAAGCTGAGGCAACTGGAGAAAGCCATGCGCTGCTTTCAGCAGGCGAGAGACAAGTCGCTGTTGGCCCGTTTGCCTATTGGGAACTTTGGGTTTGAACACATTTGCGAGCAGGAATCGCAATCGATGAAGCACAAGGACACCTGTTGGGCTTGGGATCAGGCCGGGTTCTATGGCTGGCGCGTTTACCTCAAGTTCAAGCTGCTCCCGGCGATCCGGGAGAGGCCTGAAGACCGCCAGATTGAGAGGGCTTGGAACTCATTTCAAAGTGGATTTGTCTCAAGGGTTGCTCAAAACTGTTGGTCACTGCTGGTTCAAAGGGGGCCCGATTCCATTACGAGCCCCGCCTCTCCAAGGAAACGCCACGTAAATTGCAAGAATCAGCGCTTCATTGAGACAATCATAGGTGCTCCGAGCCCTTTTGCGGCCAGGCTAGCGCAGACACAGCACGACCCACAGGCGTTGATACAAGCTGAGGCAGGGAAAGCTAAAAGGAGGTGCTTGATTCCGTGGCCACTGGCCGTAGCTGTGCCACACGAAGTGTCACTGAGTCCAGCGGCAATCAGCCAGGTTTTGTCTTAGGTTCTGGATGGCTCAAGAGCCACGCGGCCGTTGGAATTTGTTGATGCAAGCGATGATTTCATACTGGTAGCAGGACACAAGGTTTTGCGGTGTTGACCTTTGCCCAGAAGGCTAGCAAGACGGGTTCGTCAATTCAGGCTAGTTTGGTGCTTGTTCCCACATGGGATCGCCATGTTCATTAATGAAAGGAGACTCGACAATGTAGGCTTCGCCATATGGCCTGCGAGAAAGGGCTGTGAACGGCACATAATTTTGCAGCCGGAGTGTCCTTTTGTTTGATTGGCATTTGTTGAATTGAAGCAGTGCCATTTTTGGATGGAAATGCTACCTGTGAATCCATCAGGTTGTGAATCCATGAGGCTGTTGGGTACTTTGGGCTATTCCTTTTGATAGGCAGGAGAGTTGACTGCTTGGTGATCCGAATTCAGGGAGACCATTGCTCTCTAATTTCATGCCATGCTGCGGCTTTCGGCCTGTCATGTGAATTGGTACTGAGATGATTCGATGTTTGTGGGTATAGCAGCTCCATTCTTTGGCTGCCTTTTCCCCGCGTGGTTTGTTGATATGTGGTTTGTCACCTAGTCAGATCTTGCATGTTATCCGTCTAGTCCTGACGGTTGTTCCTTTCCTGCTGCACTCCTATCCCGTGATTTATCGCCCATCTGTTTGCGAATGCCATGCCGACTCCCCAAATTTCAGACAGATCCCAGAGGCACAGGGAAGCTTTTGCTCAGGAGGAGTGGGACTTCTGGAAGCCGTCAGAGGAGGAAGCGAGACCCCAGAAGCTCCAGAAGCTCGTCCTGCTGCTCAAGGACCTTATTTGTCCAGCGCTCGGCCGGGTGGTTCGGTCCTGTTATGGCATGGGCATGCGCATCCCGCAAAGTTAAAAGTGGGAGTGGTGAGACTCTATCCTGAAGGAGCACATCTTTTGCATGAAGGACAATGTTGCTGCCCAAGAGAGGATGGCAACCTTTTCGCATAGGACCAACTTCTTGACTGCTGATATTTGCAACAGATTCCAGCAAGTACATGCAACTGAAAATTGGGGACGCAGAGCACTTCGCCGACTGGAAGCTGGTCATCGAGCTGAGGTGACCTTGGGGACAGGTGCCTTGTCTTCGTGGAACAGGCATGCCGCGAGTTTTTTATTTTTCCCCCCCAGATAGCTGAAAGCTACAGGGGTTCTAACTTCGAATAAAGAAGGGAAAGTGACTTGCGAGATTGAGGGCGGGTGCTGGGGGGCATGCAGTTTGGGGTGCTGGTGGAGGTGCTGTTTTGCGAGCTTGACGGCCGGGTGCTAGGGGCATGCGATTTGGAGTGCCGGTGCAGCTGCCGCTTTGCGAGATTGGGACGTGACCGGTGCTGGCGCGGGTGCTGCGTTGGGTTGCTGTTGTGGCTGCTGTTTTGGGGTGTTGGTGACGGTGCGGGCGCATATGGATGGCAGGGTGCTAGGGCGGGTGCTGTTTGGGGTATCGTGGTTGTCGCATCATCATAATGCTGGCCGCAGACCATGATGCTGTCCGCAGCATCATGATGCTGTTGAACCGATTCGGACGTTGTTGCTGCTCTAACTGTCGCGCGTAATGGTTCGTGGCTGGTGTATCATCATGATGTTGTCAACCACGTCACAATGCTGCTGCAATCGCTGCGATGCTGCGTTATGGTTCGTGGGTGTGGCGGCGGCATGTTGACAGCATTAGGATGATGCTGAATTTCAGTACGCTGTCGCAAGATGATTCGTAGCTGTGATATCGCCATGATCATCATGATGATGACCATGATGATGACCATGATGACTCATGATGATGACCATGATGCTGTCCGCATCATGGTGGTGCTGTGAGCATCATCATGATGCTGTCCGCATCATCATGATGCTGACGAACTCATCAGGACGTCGTCGCTGCCGTTTTTCTGCTAGATATGTGGCGCGGGAATCGTTCGTGGCTGGTGTATCACATCATCCTGTCAACATCATCGTTTTGCTGCTGAACTCACTAGGACGTTGTTTGCGCGTCTATTTAGCGCACTATGCTAAGTAGCTGTGGTATCCTCATGATGCTGTCAACATCATCAAGATGCTGTCAATATCATCATGATGCCGCGGGAACCATTGTGATGTTGTGCGTAGCCGTGGTGTGCTATCTGGGGTCTATGCTGGTGTAATTTCTAATACAGAAGAGAAAGTGGTTTGCGAGATTGACAGCCGAGTGCTGAGGGGCATGCAGTATGGAGTGCTGGTGGAGGTGCTGTTGTGCAAGGGTGCTGGGGGGCATGTGGCTTGGGGTCGTGGTGGAAGTCCTGTTTTGCGAGATTGACAGCCCGCTTTGATGTAGTTGGGGGTGCTGGTGGAGGTGCTGCTTTGCGAGATTGACGGGCGGGTGCTAGGGGGCATGCAGTTTGGGGCGCTGGTGGAGGTCCCGCTTTGCGAGAATGTAGTTTGGGGTGCTGGTGGCGGGTGCTAGGGGGGCGTGCAGTTTGAGTTTGGCCGCTTTGCGAGCTTGGTGGGGTGCTAGAAGCATGCAGTTTGAAGTGCTGGTGGAGGTGACGGCCGGGTGGTAGGGGGCATGCAGTTTGCGGTGCTCGTGGATGTTCCGTTTGCTGCCTGTTCTGTTTAAGGCGCTGATGGACAGCGGGTGCTAGGGGGCATTCAGTTTAAGTTTGTGGTGCTGACGCAGTCTGGGGTGCTGTTTGACTGAGGTGCTGGTGATGGTGTAGGTGCATGTGCTGATGCAGGTGCTGTCTGGGATACTGTTTGGAGTGCTGTTTGCGGTGCTGGTGTTGTTGCGGGCGCAATTTTCCGAGATTGCCGGCGGGTGCTCGGGGGCATGCAGTTTGGGGTGGTGGTGCAAGTGGTTGCTGTTTGAGGTGCTGCTGACCGCGCAGGCGCTTCTTTCCCAGAGAACTGAAAATCATAGGGGTTCCAACTTCTTATGAAGAAGGGGAATTGTTTTGCAAGATCGACGGCTGCTGCGTTGGGGTGCTGTTGGGGCTGCTGCTGTCTTGAGGTATGGTGCGGGCGCATATGGACGGCAGAGTGCTAGGGCCGGTTCTGTTTGGGGTATCGTGGTTGTGGCATCATCATGACGCTGTCCGCAGCATCATGATGCCGTTGAGACGATTCGGACGTTGTTGCTACTCTAAATGTCGCGAGTACTGGTTCGTGGTTCGTGGCTGGTGTGTCGTCATGATGTTGTCAAGCACGTCATGATGCTGCTGTCACTGCGATGCTGCGTTATGGTTCGCGGGTGTGGTGGCGCCACGATGCTGTCAACATCAGGATTATGCTGAGTTTCATTACGCTGTCGTCATCATGGTGCTGCCTTACCATCACCATGGTGCTGTCCGAATCATCGTGCTGTCCCATCATCATGATGCTGTCGCACTCATCAGGACGTCGTCTCTGCCTTTTGTCTGCTAGATATGTAGCGCGGAGTCGTTGGTGGCTGGTGCATCAGCATGATGCTGTCAACATCACCAGTATGCTGCTGAGCTCAATAGGACGGCGTCTATGTAGCGCACCATGCTGAGTGGCTGTGGAATCATCATGATGCTGTCAACATCATCATGATGCTGTCAGCATCATCACGATGCCGAGGGAACCATTATTGCTGCGTCATGGTTCGTAGCCGTGGTGTGCTATCTGGGGTCTATGCTGGTGTAATTTGTTCCTTGGGTTTCTAGATGTGCCCGAGCTGCCCAGCACGATAGATGGTGCGATTGTTGTTGGTTGCAATTGCAAACATTCACTCGCCCACGCACACATACGTACGTTCGTAGGTAAATACGTGCATGCGCGCATACGTACGTAAAAAGTATCTATGTGAAGAGTACGCGCATACACAGATTCGTGCATGCATACGTACGTACGTACGTACATACATACAGATGTACCTACATACACACATGCATACGCACATAGATACGTACATAGATACGTACATATGTACGTTCCTACACACACACACATGGATGCATGCATACATGCAGGAATGCATACATACGTATGTGTACATACACAAATGCTTACATAGATACATAAGTACAAACGTACTTATACATGTTTATGCACACATACGTACACAAACACACACCTACATACATACATACACACATACATACATACATAGAGACACACATACATACATACATGCATACAAACATACAACCATACAAACATACAAACATACAAACATACAAATATATAAACATACAAACATACAACCACACAAACATACACACATACAAACGTACAAACATACAAACATACACACATACAAGCATGCAAACATAAATGCAAACATACAAACATACATACATACATACGTACAAACATACACACACACACATACAAACATATAAACATACAAACAAACAACCATACACACATGCAAACATACAGCAGCACCTACCAACCTACCTACCTACCTACCTACCTACATACATACGCACATAAATATATGTACACATACGTATATACATACATACATAGATACATACATTAACAAGTACGCACATACATGCATGTATACATACATGCATGTATACATCCATGCGCACAGTACATACAAGCACACATACATACGTAAATACATACATACATAAACACATACATAAACACATACATGCATGCATACATACAAGCATTCAAACATACATACATTCATACATGCATGCATACATGCAACCATGCAGACTTACATACATGCATGCATGCATACATACATACATACTTACATGCATGCATACAACAATACACACATACAAACACATACATACATACATACATCCTATATACACGCCTATATGCAGACATAGAGTACATCGAGACGTACATACATACGTACATGCATGCATACAGGCATGCACACACACATGCATGCATACATGCAACCATGCATACATACATGCATGCATGCATGCATACATACATACACGACAGACACACACACACACATAGCTACATACGTACATAGATACGCACATACATGCATGCATACATTCACACCTACATACACACACACATTCCTACATACATACATTCGCTGGTGCGCACGTACACACGTGCATACATACCTACACACAGATATACGATCTACCTACATACATGCATGCGTGCATATATACAGACACACACAAATGCATACGTACGTACGTACGTACGTACGGTCGTACGTACGTACGTATATACATACATACATACATACACACACATACATACATACATACATACATACATACATACATACATACACAAGTACGTACCTACCTACATGCACGCTTACATGCATGCTCTGAGCAGTGCTATTCGACACCAAGGACTAACCCGTTTTACCCGTGTCCCGACACTCTGGCACACCCGCGAAGCGGCCAGTGATTTTCCAAGGAAGCACAACCATCCAACGTGCGCGTGTGGCTTGAGGCAAAAGCAAGCCACCCACAACTCTCTTAAACATGTCAAAAACATTCACGAGAATGTCCGCAGTCGCCCCCAGTTGCAGCCTCCAGCCGCGCAGGGTGCAACTCCAGAGCATTCTCATCTTTAATTGGGAACAGCCCCATACTTCCAAATTGCGGGGGCTCCCTACCCGATTCCACAGGGCTGTGGCCAATTCTCTCATCACTGGCTCGGCTCGTCGATCCTCCAAGCCTCAAAAGTTGCAGTCGCAGCTTCTCGTTCTCAGTCTCCAACGCCTCATCGAGCCAATAGGCCAACTTGCCGCCTTCATCAACGGCTAGCTTGATCCAGCTCACCGACTTCTCATTCTGCTTCTGGCTGAAGAAGATCTGCTTTTGCGTGGTGTCCAGCAAGGCCAAATGGTTAGAAGAAGGCAGAGTCCGTGATGTTATACTTTTCCGCGTTGTATGCAGTTAGGCGCCAATGCGCATTCCACAGCGCCTCGCCCGGAAAGGATTAAACACAACCGCGTTAAGCCTCGAAAGGTGATCAGCTCGCAAAGAGAAGTTCATTGGTGGGTTTCTCCGGCGCCCCGAGCCCTTTCCTCGCCTGTCGTCGGCCCCACCGCTGGTCAGCGGCCCAAGGTCAACGAACGCCTTACACAGAGAAGGATCCGCAAGGCAAAGCGTCTCATGTTCTCGGAAAGTCCAGACGAAGGGAGTAGATGCAGAGCACGCGGCTCTGGCGAAAGGATAGAAGACGGGGGAGAATTCGATTGTAATTGAATCGAGCATGTCGGAATGCTGTACCTGTCACACCTTCTGCAGAAGGAGATCCGGAGCGATAAGAGGCTGTGGACTGGCGAGACTGAACTGAGAGAACCTCAGACGTGGCAAGAGGCACGCATCGATACATGTAAATACATATATATATATATATTATATGTATGTACATAGATACGTACATGCATACATACATGCATGCATACATACACACATACATACAACAAACACATACACACATACATACACACATAGATACGCGTACACGTACGTACGTATATACATAGATATTTACATAGATACACACACACGCACGCACATGCATACATACACAAAGACATACCTACACACACACACATACATGCATGCATGCATGCATGCACACATACATACATACATACATACATACATACATACATACATACACACACACACATACATACATGCATGCATGCATGCATGCATGCATGCATACATGCATGCATACATACATACATACATACATACATACATACATATACACACATGCATACATACATACCTACCTACCTACCTACCAACCATACATACATACATACATGCATGCATGCATGCATACATACATACCTACCTACCTTACATACATACATACATGCATGCATGCATACATACACACATGCATACATACATACATACATACATGCACACATACATACATACATACATACATACATACATACATACATGCATGCATGCATGCATGCATGCATGCATACATACATACATACATACACACACAGACAGACAGACGTACATACATACATGCATGCATGCACGCATGCATGCATACATACATACATACACATATGCACGCACACATACATATGTACGTACGTACGTACATACATAAATGCATATAATTTCCGGATTGGGCAGGGTCCGTCAATCACAAGCTATTGGTTCCGAAGAGGACCGAGCACTTTTTTCAAGTATTTGATCGCTTCGTCGGTCAGGTGGACGATGCCTTCGCATTGTCGAAGAGCATCGACCTTTGCATGCAGCGGCCAATCACACAGCGGCTCGGATTGCACCTGGCTGGGGCTGAGCTGTCGACCCCAAAGCCGGAGCGGAAAGTTGACGCTGTCGCAAAGTGTGCGGTCAGGTTTGTGTTTGGCACAAACTCCATGACGACCGCTCAGCAGAGACAGGCGCTGTGGGCAGCGTCATGCTTTTCCATGCCAGCAATCTCAGCCCCTCCATTCCACCCAAGAAGCCCAGCTATTCCAACCAACTTCTGCAGCCATATCTCGTTATTGTTAATAGATGCTTTCCACATTCGTTCCGCAAGGCCAAGGTGCATATGATTGTTTGCGTGCCAGAGAGCACTCGCCGAATTGCGTTGAGTTTCTTGGTGGAAGAAAGCTTGCCCTGAGTTGCCTTGCTGCTTGTGGCCTTTTGAGAGGAACACGTGGGCCAGGTCATCGCAAATTTCAAGGAGGGCCATGTGCCGATCCTGGTGTCAACCCCGGCGCTCGAGGAAGGCCCGCAGAGGGTGTAGATCCTTGCAGCTCTCCCCGAGATGTTTGTCATACCCATGTCGATCATTGTCAAGTCAAAGAATTCTGCCGCATTTGCAACAGAGAAGTCTGAGGGCACTTTGAGCGTGATTGTGGAGCTAGACTTGCCGAACATGCTTGCTTCGGACGCTGGGACACACATTCGATGCTGCCGCGGATGAGCAGCACGTACGCACAAACAACACGACTCTGTAGAGCTTTTGAGCTATTTCCCTGCTATTTGCAAGTGTTTGCAATTCGGGTCGCAACTTGCAATGTGCCAAATTTAATGTCTCAAGCATGTTTCTGGAGTTGCAACTTAACCATCCAGCTGGCGCGTCGCATGGCGCCGTCGGCGTGCACGCCATGGCCAGGCCTCGACGTGGTGGAGTGCAATACGGTCATCCGCCAGCGCCCAAGACACTCCCCCGCAACTCCAACTGGGCTTGGCCCAGTTTTGCTTCTCTGGGCGTGGCATGCAGAGGAGAGGCAGAGGGCAGAGGCAGGACAAGCCAGCAGCAATGTGGACGAGAAACGGCACAGATTATCCAGATTCCGTCAGGTCACAACAACCCTCCTCTCTCTCTCTCTCTCTCTCTCTCTCTCTCTCTCTCTCGCTCTCTCTCTCTCTCTCCCTCTCTCTCTCTCTTGCAGTTTAACGCTGCTTTGGGGCAAGGTTGATTGGGAGGCTCTGGTAATAAACGATCCCACCCAAGTCTGAAATGGAGAATCAATATGTTGAGCAACAAGCTGCAAAGTCATGGCAAATCAATGCAGCAGTTCGGCTGCGTGGTTCTGTCAATCACTTTTTTAGAAAGCGATGTGCGGGAAGGCATCAGGCACTTAGGATTCCTTAGGACAGCTTGAGGAATTCACATTCGGCACCGTTTTCAGCATTCATCAATGGCGGCAGCACGCCCAAACAGCTTTGATGCGTGGGGCTGCTGTTGACGAAACTGTATAGACACTAGTGTCAATAGGATGAATTAGAAGAACTCTTGCTTCCCGCTTGCACTAGCCACTAAATGTCCATAGCGTGGCTGCAAGCCAAGAAAATGGAGACACCAAACTTCTATTGTCTGAAGCCGAGTAAATCACGGTACTTCTCTACCAACTCAATCACGCAGCCATGTGCGGCTGAGACGCAGGCACCCAAATTCTTGCCGTACCTTGCCATCACAGGCCACGTTACTAGTGGGGTCTGTGGATCCTGGCAATACGCAACTTGCCGAGCGTGTCCCCCAAAGCGACTACTTTATGTGGCTGAGTTGATAAAGTTCAAGTGGCTTGTGTGCACAAGCTGTGCAGGGAGTGGGTGGTTCAGATATTGCCTTCTTTTGCCTGCCCTTTGGCTGCAACCACAAGATCCAAACCCACAACCACAAAGCTGGCACCAATGCCCAACTAAATTGGACAAAAAGATCTACATGCAAAACCAAACGCTTTGCTTTGCATAGATCTACTTTCCTTGCATTCAGGCTATCATGCCTTCCACACCTCCAAAGCTCACATCCAGGGCTCTGGTCGTGCACGTGCGGAGGCGAGGACTATGATCGCATTTGAGTTTCCCACTTCGGAATAGAGCATGTTTCCCTTTAGTTGCGGTGGCTGGAGCTTTGGGTGAGCGTGGTAAGTCCGGACACCTTTTCTGCCAGCCTGCTTTCAATCCTCGATAGGGCGCGCAGATCTTCTATTTCGAGAACAGCTGGGAAGAGGAGGACGCAAGCGCAGACGGTTTGACAGAGATCTGATTGAGAGGGCGTGAGCCAGGAGCAGCAGGCGCAGATGATGCGGGAGGCGGCACGTGTGGAAAGCGCACCCGCGGAGCTGACAAAGGACCGCTGCCATTTGGCTGTGGGCCAAGAATAGATATCCAGAATAAAACCCTGGTAAATGTAAGTATGGTTTAAAGCCTACGGTCCAATTCCGGGTGGTATATACTTTGACCCACAGCATTTGAGAGGCATCTCCGATCTCGAGTAGAACCGGGAGCGCAGCCAAAATGTTTTCTTTGGGCAGGGAGGTGTCCGATTTGCCGCGGGCGAGCTTGGATTCATTGTGCGTTGGACCCTTCGGCGCCGGTCAACGCTCTCCCTGAATTGGCCCACGTTTCTTTTTACATTGAGAGCGCAGGGGGTCGAGCATTAGGTTTGGGCAAGTGCATGACAGATTTCTGGTGGTTTTTGCACATTTTGTTCCTTCGAGGAACGGTTAACCAATAGCTTCCTGTCAGGTGGCCGATTGGACTTTTTGTCTTCCATGCATATCTTATACAGAAAGAAGTATGGGTGATCCATTTGTGCCTGATCCGGCTGACCTCAGGAGCCCGAGTCTGAGTACCCATTCTTCATCCATCCCAGCACTGATGCTCAGGTGGGAGCTGTGCCACATGCGCTTTTCGCATCGTTGCGCTTGCTTGCCCAACCTTTGCGCTGACCGATTCCAGTCGCAGAGGTGGACGCCTACAACTGCCTTGCCATTCTCCGAGAATATGCCACCCATCTCGAAGGGGGGCGCATTGCCAGGGCAGATTTGAGACGTTCTGCTTTGGTCAGCTGGACTCTCTTGCCGGTACGGGGTCACAAGTCTCAGGGTTCAGGTTCAACCTCGAGGGCCCACCTTGAGAGCCGCCAGTTTCGACTGGAAGCACCTTGAAATGGCAAGCAGTACGATCTGCCATGATAGTCAGTATTTTGCAGGGTTGGCAATTTTGCATGCTGCGTCCTGGCCGAAGCGCTTCGAAGAGCTTGAAGCACAGTCCTGCGTGCCCGGGACATGGACTGCCAAATCCTTTGAGTGCGCAGTGTTTCCATGAACTTTGGCCCAAAAGGGACATAAAAGGTATACAGATCCTTGGGAGGGGGCACAATGAACCAGTATAGTTAAGTGATATGCAGTATGTAAGCAGAATGTCATATTGTAGCCAAGCTTGTTTTCTTAGCCGCTGACGCAAGCTCCAGGTCTCCAAGACCGCCAAGGGCCAGTGGCCCGATCCTTTTCAGCGACAAGAGGCCGGAGCAACAGAACCGCAGCTGATTGACGCATCCAGGTCTCCAAAACCGAAGCCTTTGCCAAGTTTCCTGGAGTGTTGTTCCCAACCACAAGGTGCGAGCATCCTGGATGCCACATGAATTTGAGGCTTCGTTTACCGGGTTGGCACAGCTGAAGTGCAACCAGTGATCGGAGATATCATGCCTTCGGCGTAGGATCAAGTATTGCCTTCCTAGGTCCTCTCGAATTTCTCAAGCCCAATGCAGACTCAGGGTTGCGCTGAAGAACTCCACCCATGCACCGCGTCAAGGCCTCTCAAAGCAGGAGCCACATCCCACACCAGCAGTGTTCCAATCATTTCACGCGTCACTTGACACATTGCTGGAGAGTTTGGCCTCAAGCCCGGTGCATTCGGGTATTCGTTGGGCCTCAAGCTTCCTGGCCAGGGCATTGTGGTTGAGTGTTGCGTGCCGGTGCTCCGCAAGATGCAGCAGACCACGGAGGAGCAGGCCCGGCCTCTCGGGCCGTCCCCATGCGCTTAAGCGCAGGCTGCTGATTTGTGCAGCACCGATGTGACCAAAAGTTGAAACCAACCGCAATCCATCAGCACACTTGTGCTCAACCAGCTTCTATCATGGTCTCTTGTGAACACGGCCACCGACACGCCGTTCAGTGCAGGAAGCCAGGCGCTTGCCCAAACAGTGTTGCCACGGAATTGGCTGCAACTGTCCCACCGAGGTTGCTGAGTACTGGCGGAAGGCGCGCTGATCTGGGAAATCAGCAAGTCCTTAAGGGCAACTGACGCATTTGCTTTGCTGCTTTGCCAGCGTCAAACGCATCACTCCGTTGAGGCACTGGTGGCTCCTTCACGAAAATGGTAAAGTGGAGAGTACAACTCGTGCTGCTTGTTGTCGCCAATGACAATTAGCTTACGGGAAGACCAAGCAAAGATGAACTCAAGGAATGTTTTCCGGAAGGTGGCTTGAGATCTTGGCTGCGTAGGTGGCTGAGAACCCTGGCCCAGCCAAGATCAGTGATTTCACCGGGAAGCTTGCCAGCGAGCGTATCAAAGGCAGCTTGGCACGCTCAACCCTTCCTACAGGATGCTGCCAGGGACAGTGAAAGGAACACCACCCTAATCAACCAATGATTCTTTATTCCGAGGCTCCTTATTATTCCTGCGCGCAAAGGGTTCCTTGAACCTCGGACTACCGCCAGACCAAGGCAAATCACAAAGTCCCGTGTTGGGGTGCTGTTTGGAGTTGACATGCATGTAAGCAGCAGGAAGCTACAGCCTCACCCGCACTACTTTACCCAATATATCCCCAAATGCAGCTCCCAAGAGTGCTGCCTTACTGACAATGGCTCCATTCAACGTTCAAAGGTCCGTCTTTTCCCTCCCCGCTTACGGGTTTGTGCTGAGCTGGGTAACGGGGCATGAGAGCGGGGTAACGGGCGCCGACGTCAAGCCGAGGATGGTCCACGGATGAAATGCAGCAGCACCGTTTCGCCATGGTAGCGGTGGTGCAGCTCATTAAGGCCCCGAGAAGCGGCACCACTTGGAACAGAAACGGAACGGCGAAGTGCAGGTGTTGTTTTGTGCCGCAGACTTGCGGACGAGCCCTTTGCGAGCTCCGATCTCTTAGCATGTTGACTCTGCTCCAACACTGGGAGCACAGAGCCATCGTAGGAACTTTGCAGGATGATGACGGCTTGACGCATCTAACATTGAGTGCGAGTTGGGAGTGCTTGCGCGTTTAATCTCTTTGGCGCATGGGTCTGCCTGGAGGACGGGCACATTGATGAGCACAACATGCCCGCACGCCCAAGCTTGAAAGATGAGGGGACCAGGGACGGGGCCAGAGCTATTGCGAGCAATTCACACGTTGGAGGCGTGTTTGCCCAGCTGGCCAGCTGAATACATTGGATGTCACCAAGAAGGCCAACATCCCAGAATCCATGAAGGGAACTTGTTGCAGTCTCCCCCAATCAGACTATGTTTGGCTATCTCTGGGTACGGTTTTTGAATCCACTTGGCCGCATGGCCCTCTTCTCTGCCCAGAAAAGCTCTGCCAAGGCCTTCTGTGGAGGCACTGAGGGGTGGCCCGGAGAAGCAAGCGAGGAGCGTTTTTCTGTGTGTAATCCGCGAGCTGCGCCGATGCAAGCAGGCCATTACTCCTGTTTTGGGCAGCGTTCTTTAGAGTTGTTGGTGGGGGAAAGGTTGCTCTTCAGGAACTCAGTCACATTCGCTGTATGTTTTTAGCCATGTGCATGTGTGCAATCTACAAGAGCGGGAGATGATGCGCGGCCAGTCAGGACAGATCTGCCAGGCACGGCAGGGTGCTGCTGTCCAGAGCCAACTTTTCGCTTCATTCCTGCATCGCTTTCAGCTTTGACAGTTTTGGCCTCCATGCTCTCTGACGGCTCATGGCGTTCTAGTCCACGCGCGACTTCGCGCAAGCTGCATTTTGAGTTGACACGCCGCAAGAGAGCGGGCAACACTTCAGGTGCAGAGGGGACAAGACTGCAGCTGGATCTCGGCTCTCCTTATTTGGGTCCTTGGAAGCAGTGTAGCATAGCCTGCCAGAAACATGCCCGTGTTGTGAGTGATATGCTAACTACGGAAGATTCCTTTGCTTTAAGACCAGCCCGCCAGCGTCCCACTTACCCAACAGCGCTGCCAGGTGTGCCGGGCCCACCGGGACTGCCAAAACCACCAAAACCAGGTGGGGCAGGGGCAAGGAGCTTGCCAAACACTCCTCTTCAGCTGTGAAGTACTTGCCATGCTCGAGCGTCTTTCTGCGAAGTCGCAAGTTTTGCGATTTTATCAGCGATTGCAGCTCCATCTTTTGTTTCTGTCGCCCTGCTGCACCACCTTTGCACAACCGCGTGCTTTGACACCAGTTGCTCCTGTTGCAGCACCTGCAAACGCACAATCACACAAGCCACGCGGAGTTCTTGGAGGTCTTGCCGGATGCACGGCCAAATTCCCAAAGTGATGATGTTTTGATCCTGGAGCTTTTTGTTGCTACAGGTGTGTGACAAGCCCATGCCACGGCCTTTTTCCCCAGGGGTAAAATGCATTTGTTTGTGACTGCTCCTCTCGTGGTCAAAGATAAATCTGGCGATCGGTTGATATCATTCCAAGTTTGAAGTTGGCACGCATCCGCAGGTGTGCCAGGCCCCCCTGGGCTGCCGAAAGCAGGCAAGGGAGCGGGCTGATGGGCACATGTCACGGATTAGCCTTCACTTCCAGCAAGGTGCTTTTGGGAGCCATGGCCCCGAAGCATAGGAGCCATGCACCGCAGAGTCTCTGAGACCCAGAGGGCAAAGCAGATTGATGCAAACATATTCGGGTTTGAACGCTTGCCTGCTTTTTGCGAGCGTGCGCGCTGGCACACGCGCGCACACGGCGCGCGAGCGAGCTTCGCTAGCTCGTGTCCACGGTTTCCCAAGTCACGTGCGAAGAAGGATCATGGAAGGCAAGCCCATGAATTGCATGGCCTACGTCTTGTAGGCGGCGCGTTGTCTGCCTCGCGGGGGAGCTCGGAGTTTTAGTATTTGCACATGGCCAAGTTGTAATTCTGAGCATGGATAGAGCATGGTTAGTATGGCGCAACTCAGCTCAGGTTCCTTCTGGCAAGGATGGGTCCGAACTCGTTTGTACTTTCAGAAAAGGCAGAAGAGACACCACCTTCAAAGCAGGCCCCAACGCACATGGACTAGGGCCTGCTGTTTGTTTGCTCTGCTGAGGTCTGAGCCTTGGTTCCCAACCGCTTTCAGCTCCCAGGCACGCAGCCAGCTTGATGGTTCGCGCATCCTTTCAGCCCTCATTGTTGCCAGTGCTCAACAGGCCTAAATCATGCTTGCATGCCATTGCGGATTTTGCACAAACACAACATCTACGAGTGTTGTGGCTGCCGCAAACCGATGCTACACCCACGAACATGGGACTGGACAACCTCCGAGTCTGAGGGTTCCCTGATCCTCCTCCTCCTGCCCCTGTGGGTGTTTCTGCTCCTCTATTCTGCCAATGGCTTGCTGCTGCTGCTGCTGCTGCTGCTGCTGCTGCTGCTGCTGGCTCCTCTTTTTGTTGCAGCACACTTATTCAGGGATTGTGCGCAAGCGCAACAGGACCACATCCTCCGGATTTGATTTTTGGCAAGTCCGAGCGATGGATGCCTGGAAGGACTTCATAGAGAAGACGGATTCAACTAGTCTGGGTGCTGCAGTGGTGAATGCGACCGTTGATTTCTTTGTGAAATCTTTGGGCATTGAGTCTCCTGTTCTCGCGGACGGGTACACAGAGGACATGCTGAGCGCCCATCTTCCGAAGGAACGCAGTGGGGGCTTGCATTCGTTGGGTGCTGAAAACAAGTTGTTGAAGCCATCCAGAGTGCAGACCAAAAGCGCGTTTGC